ATGTTTTTTATTATTTTTGTTTACGGATAAGTTTGCGACGATCAAAAATTCAAAATTCGTTCCTCCGATGCACGAGACATCATAGTTTCTATAACATTATTCATTAGTTACGTGCAATGTTTTTTACACCAACAAAAATTCCGTGTCGACAGAACGGTTGAAAAAAACTCTTCGACCCCAACAGCCGAATTGGTTTACATTGAATCTCTTTGCGCGCCTACACTTCGTCTGTACTTTCCCTCTGTTATAAGATGGCTTGTAACTATTCCCATTACAATTTTTCTACACTAATTTATAAGTTGATCGGCTGCTAGGCGAGAAACATTTGGCAGACATGGTGCACCTAATACTGACTTCCGATATAAATAAATTAAACGTATATTATTGTGAAAGATAAGTTATATGAAAAATATACAGAGACGATTAGGTGTAAAAGGGGTTTAAAAAGAATTATCAAATAACAATTTATTTTTGGCGGGAAAACGAAATGATTAATTAAAATTCGTCATATGATGACGTTTGTATACCTGCGTGATATTTATTATCGAATGTTATCCAGAAATCAATAAAAAATAATAAAAGTAACATTGAAAATATTAATAATTTCTTGAAACAAAATGTATATAATAATTTAGTAACACATGATTTAACACTACATACTTGTCTAGTATTAGACTACTGACTTGACGACTTAACTAATAACTAAACTATATTAAAAAAATATAATATTAATGTGACCCGTGGATAAGGTTTCTTGAACCTAATTAATAATTTATAAATTGCCTTGAACGTTATTAAATTATTTTGAATATAAATATCTTAACATAATTTTATAAATATATATTTAAAATTGTATTAAATTTATTTAATCAGTTAAATACTGGACAAAAATGTGAAAATAATTTAATAAAAAATAAAGTAAGTAATCCTTATGTTATCAATAACAATGACAAACATAGTAATTTGTTTTATCACTTGTCAATTATACTGTTATCTAAATAATACTATTTATACTATAGATTCAATAAATATTACAAAAGTGTAAATTTTATATTAAATATGTTATATTAATAAGTAAGATTAAAAAAAGTCAGTTTTTATACCAAAAAAATCAATAACAGATGTTGTATGTTAACTTACTATTCAATTTAGAGTAGGAGTAAATATACAAATTTTTAAAAAAAGACAGTGCCTACCTACATGCATTTGAATATTAACAATCAATACAGTAAAAATTTATAAAATTACTTTGTAGTTAATAGTTTAAAATTAAGTGAATGAATTATTAATAAAACGTACATGCTAAACTAAGTTTTATGACACTCAAGAACAAAACTTTGATCTTTTCACTAACTTGTATTATAAAGTAATTTTAATAGATAGAAATTTTGTTTTAATATATTGGTTTTTGGTTCTAATATTAGCAATAGTTGACAGTATTTTTTATTTAAAATATTTAAAATAACAAAAATAACTATTGATTACCAAGTTATTTTTAGGTATAGGTACAATAACAAAGCTTATTTAGGTAAGAAAAAATATGGATCACTTATGTTAAACCATTAATTGTTACAAAAATAACTCAATGCAATACACTATTGTAGTTTTAAAATGTAAATAAATATTTATGAAATAAATAAAACAAATCTATACAATGTAATAGCCAAAATCTGCATGTGATAAATAAAAATGTAATAATTTTATCAGAAAACACAATAAAAATAAGTTTTAATTCAGTGATCCAGAAAAAAATTAAAAGTTGTGATATAACCAATATAGTATTTATTTAAGTTATTTATATAAAATCGTAATGAATAGGTAAAAAGTTTTATAGTGTCGAGTTGCAATTTTTTTTTCTTAATGTGATAAATAAAATACAAAATAAAATTTACTTGCAAAAAATACAAGCTGAAACACTATTAAAAAATGAGTTCTAAAATAATTATCATCACACAAAAACCCTATAGTATCGTGTTCACAACAATTACTAAATGATGGTGGTAGGACCAAAACAATGATGCTTGATACTCTATAGGTTGATTATTATTTATAGTCACTGGCCTATTATAATCTGGACGGATTATTAAATGTGAGTGGACAACTTTAAATGGGCAGATAAACAATGTTTGGAAAACGGCGTAAACCGGCAAACAAGTGATAAGCAAATGTGAACTTAGTGTTAAAATGAAAATACCGCCATTTCAGTGTTCGTCAGATGAAAAATTGCATCGTAAACACCGGTGCCGGGGAACCACCGAGTTCCAAGCAAATACTGACGGACGTGTCTTGACGTTGGATAGTTTTTTCAAACCAACTACATACTGGAAACCCACGAACATTCGAGTAAATGTCAAGTAAATAATTCAATTTGTACATGTACCTGGAACGTAAACATTACGAACGTGTCGGTTTATTGAGCACAGGAAAACTGATTGCGGCAGCCTCGGCCTTTGACGAACGTAACACTTGATCGCTGGCGATATACACTCGAATATTTTGTATAACATTTAATTTAAAACGCGCACAGCAACGAATTATCAACATGAAAACATTAAAAATCACTCGTTTAACCTAATCGGCCATCTTGTCCGTGTTCTCGAAGAATAACAAAACATCATCGATTCCGGGGGAATAAGCGTTTGAGTGGGGATGCGCCAGTCCACCGGCGCGGAGCATGGAATGTACGAATGGCGCAGCATTAAATTACTTCTTCCATGATTTTACTGATTAAACTATCCAAGCACGCATTGTTTATCGTCTTTGATATGTGCAATAAACGTGGCAATTTCAAAAACTATTAACTAAACCTAATATAATATTCTTATTTTTCTTTAATAAAATATTTTAAATATTGTAATCACATTAATTAATTAATTAGGTAATTATTTTAACTTCGAAATCAATCTTAAAACGTAATACTCCATAAAAACCAAGTAATAAGTATGAGTTCAGCTATATTCATAGTTCCAATTTTATTTTAGCTATAAATCAAATCAATATTCTTTTTACAATTATATTTTACTTATTTCATGGTTATAATACTTTATTTTCATCTTAGTCAAATGTTTAGTTAAGCATTTAAAAGTTTGAATAACTATGGATATTAAATAATTAGCTTTTGGTTCATTTTTGATTTTGAGCAAAGCAATGAATGTCGGAAGAGGTGGAGGGCAGATTATCCCCCCTGCAACCATTCTGCAAGGAGCTGAAGGACACAGTGGATCATACACTGTTCCATTGTCCATTCTGAACGGAGAGTATGCTAAGATGGAGCAGTGCATCAATCAGCAACTAAGGCCCAAGGTTTTTTCTGATTACTTTGAGGCTAGAGCAGGAGCTCCTCCCAGATGACATGTCAAAGAGAAGGCAGATGAGGCATCGGTAATAAACAGAAGATAGTAATTGGCAGGATGGTGGAGATGATACTTAGACTTAAGGAGGTAAGGCAGCGAGCGCATCCAATAGGTAAGAAGTGGATGGGTAAGGTAAATCCGTTTCTTTTTTTTTTTTTTTGTGGACTGAAGGCCAGTTTTTCAGGATGATTAGAGGCCCCCATGTATATATAACTAATATTGATAATATTGTAATTAATTGTTAATGAATAAACGCTACAGAACCAGGTGGCAATATTGATTGTGCAAAACAGTTCCCACTCGTTTCAGGTTTTTTTTTGTGAACGGAAAAAAAAATAGCAATGAATGTATTGGTTTTGCAATTATTTTTATTTCTGTGATTTAATTTTCAACTTAGAAAGATAATTTTTAGCAGTAACTTGGATGTAATTGGCAATGAGGGAAAGTCTAAAGTAAAAATTTTTAGTATTTTTCAAAATAACCAGGAAAAACAAAACAAAAAAAAAAAGACTAAGGAAAACTTTGAATTTTCATGTCAAATCAGTATTTGACAAAATTGTTTTTTTCCTAACAAATATACCAATTTAAACAATATTATTTATAATATAATTCATTTTTTTTATGTTTAGTATAAAGGTTGTAAAAAGTGAATTTTTAAAATTAGTCTCCAGATCTCATATTAGTCAACTCAGTTATGGTTATAATCAAATCTTGAACTTTATTCAGAATTAATTTTAAACTAAACTAAAAAATTTACTAAACTTGTGCTGTTAGTGAAGTGAGACTTTAGTAGTGTCCACAATAATAAGACTGTGTCTTACTCTGACTTCTGTTATAGCTTATATTTAAACATGTATCTTATATCACAATAATTAAAATAATTAAATATGTAAATAAATATTTACTAAGCAAACCTTATATCAAATTAATAAAAATAAATATTATTATTTATACCATAAAGAGTAAAGATTACCTGTATCTAATCTTCTATAAACATACTATTACCACACAAGTTAATATTTATATTTTTTACCTCTAGTATCATCCTATAACATATGAATTAAAAATATTTCATAATAATCGGTAATAAAAAGGCAAGGTAACAATAACTAATAGTAAGTATACTATGTTCTAGTCGACAATTTGGCAAAATAGTTTATGTAAACTGATAATTCATAATAAAATAATATATTTTTCCTTGAAGTTAAGTCATACCAGTTTAAAAATATCTAATATTTAGAGCTAATTTCTAAAGTAAAACTAAAAGATGACAAATATTACATAAAACTACTAGAATAACCAAAAATAATTTATTATTTGATATTTCTAATCATATTTTTTTTGGTCATATGAGTATGTGACTGATAACCCACCTACATAATGTAGAGAAGATATCATCTGTATATTGTACCTACCAATATAATATATATATATATAATACTTAATATATTATAATATGTACAAGTACAACAGAAAATTTTGATAAAATTATAAAATTAATTTCAAAATTGTATAAAAATTATAATTTTTAAACTAAAGGTAAAAGTTGTATAAATAAATAATATAATAGTTATTATATAATATTAATAAAATATATAAATGAGATTTAGAAGTTTAAAGTTGCTTATATTAAAAAATAAACCTACAAATAGTATATTATTATAATGAATAATTAAACTTTAAAAAAAGGAACAATATTACAGGTGTAATTTATTTTAATTCACCGTCTTTTCTTCTTGTCCTGTTTTCTTGATCTATGATGAGAATATGGGCGTCTAGGTGATGCAAATGTACTACCATCAGAGTCATATTCACTGCCATCACCATTATCCTAAAAATTCAATAAATCGATTTAAGATTTAATACTTTAATTATATGTTTAAGATTAATAAAATAGTATATATATTATTCCAATAGTCATTATAATCTACAATATACTTTGAAATATTATGTGACTCAAGTGTTTATGGTAAATTAAGAATTATAATTAAAATAATAAACTATTGTAAATATAGAAGTTATTGTATAAATAAATAAATAAAGGATAGTAGTAAAACTATAAATAACATTTTTAAAATTCAGATAGTTTATAAAAAATGAATAATACATTTTTTTTTTCAATAAAACAATAAAAAAGTAATTTAATTAAGTTTTGTATATAGGAGCAGTTTATTGGTAAATATCTTTTTATTTATATGCAACTATTTCATTACTTTATTGTTATATTAAGATAAGATTTTTTTTTTTTTAGTATTTATAACTTCATGTACTTTATTTTAAAATGAAACGATTGAAACGGTAGTGGTTTTATTGGCATTTATTTTACACATCACTTATTATTAAATATACATTCGATTTATATATTTTGTCAATTTTAAAATTATTTCAATAAATTATATTTGTCTTTTTAATAATTACTTTTGAGTCATTAGATTGATCAGTTAATAAAAACACAGTTGTTATGCATACTAATTGAAAAATAGCAACTAAGTATAAACCATAACGAATTACAGCATCAAATACTTCATCTGATTCTTCAATCGGAAACATCTTGAAAACTATGAAAAAGAAACAAAACAAAGATTATTATTTTATAACTAATTAGGTAGATGAATTTACACAAATATCATTTATTACACTCTAATTAGATAAAATTGTAAAAAATGTATTTACATTTATGAAATTAAACATACCAAATACTAATATTTAAATTAAATGTCCTTTTGAATATATGGCTGTACAATAAAGTTTTTAAAATAATTTTTTACCAAATACAAAACAATCGTAACTATTCTAAGTTAACAATATAATATTATTTATTCTTTAATCTGATGTTAATGATACATAAAATTTGTTTTTGTACACACGGATATCAAGACTTAAATCTTTATAAATTTCATTTATAACAAATTTGCAATGATATTGACTAGGTAACTATACAAATCATTGGGAAATAAATGTTACCTAAGTATACACAAAATGTAGAATACTATAAAAAATACTTGTTTAAAATATTAAATCTATTCGCCAGTTATAGTTATAGTATAATTGGGTATCAACAATTACACTCCGGAATAATAGTTGTCTACTTACACAATTACAACGAACAAAAAATATAATATTTATTATTTAGTATTTACTATTATAATATTAAAGTAATATTGTTATTTGTTATTGATTTTCGTGAATATGTTATCACTTGTATTACTTGTAATCATGGCTGCACCGACAGATAATGGATAGACAATCTATGCAGATAATAGATATCGTCAAATACATGTTATTGATAAAAAAAAACTTAAAAAACCATTGAAAAACTGTTGCTGTCAATTAAATTGAAACTATATTAGCCATAGAATACATTAATAGAATAATTCTGTATTTCTGTCTCGTATGCTGTATTTATCAATTTGATATTTTAACAACTTTGAACTTTTCATAATTTTGATAAATCTTTTTTAGTTTTACTTTTAACTTTTATTTTGTTTTAATAACATACCTACCTAAGTTATTATTGCCTTAAAATTAATATAAAGTAAAAATTTAATTAATATTTGTTTAAAACTAAACTAGCCATAATAATATAATTTATAACATTATTTTCTGTTTTTCTCTAATATATGATTTTGTTCTAAGTATAAATTATTATTTTTAAAGATTTTGTTAGATGTGTGTTCATTATTTTTCAGATTCTTAATAATTATTTCATGTGCTTGTTAATTTACAATATTTATTTATACTGATGAGTTATCCTTAATTAATACTCATTTATAATAGTTGGCTAAATTATTTTTAATATTATTGTTCATATTAATAGTATAATATAATATTAGTCACATTAAGTAATTGACAGGTATGTATTTCAAAAGTATTTATGATTAAAAAGTAAGTATTTTAATACTTTTAAATTTTTTATAAAAATTGTAATGATTGTGATTTGTATATTTTTATTTCTAAAATATGTTTATATAATATATTTATATACATGTTTCAGTAAAATCATTAATTATGATTTAATCATATAATTGATTACTAATTTATTTATTTATGTAGGTACATAATTTGATTGTTATTTATTGTTGATGATTTGATATTTTAAGAGTTGGGTCATAGAATTTTAAAAATGTATTTACTTTTGATATAAAAGTTTTGACATTTGAATTCAAAGCAATATTATTCAAATTTTTTTTTAATTAAATACGATGACGTATTTATTTACATTTCTTATTATCATAAATTAAATTTATTGACCTTCCTATTTTTTAACACCTGCCTATGCATAATTATTTTGATAAATCTACTATCTAGAATTTTTAAGAAGGCAAAATTTTACATTTTTTTTTTTTCAGAAATATAAGAAAAATTATTTAATTTCCTAAATATTTTTAATTTTTTTGCAATTAATTTTACAGTCTTGAGTTTTATTATTTGTTTTAATAATCTAAATTATTTTATGAAATTATATAAGTATTATGCATAAAATATGAGTTTTAATGTTAAATAAATGAGTGCTCTATTCAAACCTTTTGATTTTAATTAAGCAGCAAATTTAACATTCATTATTGGTTATTAAAAAAAATTATTCTTATAAATCTTAATATATAAACCTAAAATCAAAAATTTTAGCATGAATATTATATTTTTGTTTAATTATTTTTACGTATAAAATAGGTAGGTAAATGTTAACTACTTAATGACTTTATAATTAATTCTTTCATGAATATATTATGTTTTAATAAATTATTTACATTTATTCATCACCAGTGTCTAAATTTTATTTGTTACTACAAATCTATAAGGAACAATAGTTATAAAAATACTTTTAAAATTATACTTGTATTGAATTACTAAATAGTGAATACTATTAGCGAATGTACATTTCTTTAATTTACTATATAAATTATAATTGAAGTATTAAGAAAGAATTATTTTGCAAGTGAATTATTTCATAAAACAATTATGATTGTCAAGTAAAATAACAATAATTTTTTTACCATATAGCATTTTGATACATATTTTATTGATTTACTAATAATTCTGAGTATGTATTTATTGAAAATTCTTTGTTATTACTACGGTATGTAGAATTAGTTTTCATAATGTATATTCATAAATTTATTTTGAACATGAATATCAATAAAAAATATTTAAAATATTATCAAGGAATAATCTATTTAAATTAAAATTAAAATTTTGAAATAATTATTGTTATTAATTAGATGTCTAAGATTCTTTAGATGCTTAATATTTTATTTGATAAAATTATATGATCTGTTTAAACATGTATAAAATTTTATGCCAATCAACAAATTATTTATGTACATACAAATTGAAATAATATCTTTATTATTTTCAGATACTTAAGTTTCTTTTTAAATTTATCAATGCTTATTATTGATTGATATTTGTATCTATGAAATTTGATATTTTTAATAGTTAAAAATATAATATATTGTATGATAATTTGTATAAGAAATCTACTACTATTTTGAACTTATATTAAGAAACTAATTTAACATTTTTTCCTAAGCATAACCTAATTTTCCAAAGAATAGATTATATAAATATTTAATAAATGTTAATTATAATTATGTAAATTTCAGTTGGCATAATAAACTACTTGTATTTATTATTAATTATATAAAAAAAAATATTATATAAAGTACTATTTATTAGATAAGAGTATGAAAAAATATGATTAATCTTTGACATGACAATTTATATATAATTATCTAACTTTAAAGTTAATTTAATATTATAAGTTGGTTTTTTATTTGATTATTATTAAATTGCCATTTACCATTTGTTGTTTTATTGAAACAGCAATTAAGGTTGTTATTATAGTTACCTAGTAAAGTGTTTATATTCAATTTTGTTTTAGATTAACAATGGAGTTATCTGTTAGTGGACCATCATTTGAAGAAATTCAAATTCCTGTACCATTTGGATTTGTTAGTGGTTAGTATTGTAGTTTTATTAATAATTATTATTATGAGACATGAATATTTATATTTATGAATTAGTATCACTGGATACTATTTTTAAGTTATACCAACATATCATATTTTTGTATAGCACATTTTTTTATTTTAAAGATAATATTTAAAACATTGTTAATTTTATATTTTAATAAGTAAAATGTCTACATATTATTAATATTGTAAAGTGTTAGTTAATTTTTTTTTTATTATTTAATGTTATTTACAATCTGTTAAACTAAAATAATGAGCAAATTTGATTGCTAGGAGAAATAAAAAAAAAACACATGCAAAATTTGAGGAGGGAACCGTTCTCTTAACAACCTAAGAATTTTACATTAAATTTTAACTTAAATAGATCTTTTTATCAGTTATGTTTTAGTCATTGTTAAAAACTAATAACCAGGAATGGAAAAGGAAGACATATTATTGATGAGGGGGTTAAGATTGTTCAATAATTTAGCATAAAGATGAATTTTAAATAAATATATATTTATTTTCCATACAATATGTTCAGAATTGGTACTGACTACTGGTATCTTATCAATGAGATAAATAGATGTATATTTTTAATTTGTTTAGGTAAATGGTGGGGATCAAAAGATAAGCAACCTATAATAGCAATTCATGGATGGCAAGATAATGCTGGAACTTTTGATCCTTTAATCGAATTACTACCAAAAGATTTATCTATTTTATGTATAGATCTACCAGGACATGGGCGATCTTCTCATATCCCTTCGGTAAAAATATCTATTTTTTTAATAATATTTAAAATAATTATCTGATTTTTAATTTCTTAAGGATTTATAATAACCTCTTTAATATAATTTTACTTATTCGCAATCCAGTGATAATCAATTTTATTTCTTTATAATTCAGAAAATATATTATTCATAAATTTGACATAAAATATTTGTTATATAAAAAAACTGGTTTATACATTTTCTAGCCAAGGATTTGAATTCTAATCTATATGATATTTATAATTTTTCATGAAACGACTATTATAATTTTGATACATTATTATGTTAAGATTAAATTAAGATAATCAATAATCATATGTTTCATAGGGTTTACCTTATTATATATTTTGGGATGGCCTAGCTATTTTAAGAAGAATAATCAAACATTATAATTGGAGAAAAGTTTCGATTATTGGCCATTCTTTGGGTGCAGCTATTGGATTTTTATATGCAGCATCATTCCCTGATGATACAGAAATGTTGATATCTATTGACACAGTAGCACCAGTCATTTTTGATCCTAGTGAAATCGTTAAAAATACTGGACCAAATATTGATAAGTTAGTTTTCTTTTATACATACTTTGTTTATATCAATTATTAAGTATGACAAATTTTGACTTATAATTAATAAATAAATATCTAAATATTTTATAGACTCATACATTACGATTCATTAGGAGTTGATAAAATGCCTTCTTATAAATATTCAGAAATGATTGATTTAGTTGTTGATGGACATCATGGAACATTGACTCGCAAATCTTGTGAAATACTTATGAGACGTGGCATGTATCGTGTTAAAGATAACAAATATTTGTTTTCAAGAGATATACGTCTTAAGGTAAATACGTGTAATATTTTATAATGGCACAGTGGTTGGCCTTAGTCACTAACGTGTTTTGAGGTTAAACATCTGCGGGTCTCACTAACTCCCGGATGGGTAACCATCTGAGTTTTTAGTGGCAAATCCTCTCCACTTTTACAAGTTTTTCAAAATTAGTACCCTTCCCCATAATAAAAAAAACTGACTACAGGCTAGTAACTACTGCTATTGAAGCCTAAAAAGTCTAAATAATATATTAATAACTAATTTGGACAAATAAACTTCCTATGTTCAGTACTTTAGTACAATTTTAAACAAAAACTATCAATCTAATACAAAAATATTACATTTATCAGGAAATAGTATTAGACATATTATCAACAATACATCATTTTGTACTTCAATTTTAATTGGTAAATGGTCTATTTAAGTTTTTATTCAAATTTAACTTAATGTAGTAATAATAAATAATAATCTAATTATTATTAAAATATACAAATATTTTTAAAAATTTATCTATAAAATATGTATTTTACTGGACCTCATAAATGTTACTTTAAGATGTTATTACTAGCATTATAGTTCATAACTATAATAATTTTAATTTGTAGGTAAATAGATCTATTTAAAAATTGAACAGCATGAATCTATGACATCTCATAGGTTTTGTTTATATTTAATTTAAATTTTAAAGTAAGATTGAAAATTTTTTAATATTATTAACCTTATAAATAGTTATTATTAGAGACTAAATTCATATACATTTAATATTTTAAATTATGCACTTAAAATCATAAAATATTCAAAATAATTTTTGATTATTAAATTTATTTATTTATTGTTAAGTTATAAAATTAAAACATTTATGATAAAAAATAACTTGTAATATTATATTATATAATGATTATAAAAATGAATTAACATTAAAAAATATACAGTTTATTGGTTATTGGAAAAACAATAAATAAAAATAATATGTTCCATATTGATCTCAGTTAAATTATGATTTGTGAAAATATGTTTGTATGCAAAAAAACTTTGTTCCACATCAATACTTGTTATGGGTGCATATTTAAAACTCGACAATATTGTTAAGGTAAAATATTTGATAAAAGAACTATTCAAGTTAATTCTCACCTTGGTGTATTTTAGAAATTTTTTTAAAATTAATTAGCTTTTATTTTTTTTATTATAATTTTAGAATATTTTTTTTAAAATTAATACACTATTTTCATTTTTGGAAATATTAATAATAGAATTTGTAACTTGTACAAATATTTTTAAAGCATCTATAAGTAGCAAACCTGAAGTTTCAAGCTTTTTAATACTTTCAACAATAACCAAAAAATGTATTTTAATATAAGTTAAATCATTAATTATATTTGATTTAGTTAGAATTTGTTTACTGTTTTTAATGCTTTTGATATCATTTTATTGTAAGTTTGCTATAAAATTTTTAAAATATTTAAAATTATCTACATTAAACATTACTGATTCTAACCAAGCACTCCACCGTGTTATTATATGTTGAGGAAGTAGTAGTTTATTAGGTAACATTTTATGATATAATTGAATTCTATAAGGAGCTTTCAAAAATATATTTTTTTCCTTTTTTCCATTGTTAATTAAATTTTTATTCGATTAACGAAAACATAATATTATATTTTTAAAAATATTTTCAATTTTTGTATTGTGGAACATATTTATGTTACATAAATGTTATGGCATTATGCCTTATGGTTATAAGTAGGTAACAGATTTATATGCAATTAAATAACTATTTTTTTAAGAATTTCAAAGTTTGTATTTAAAAAAAAAAAATATGTTCTATAAAATAACAAATATATATGTATTAAATATGCAAAATACAATTATTATAATTTTAATTATAATCTAAATCATGGACTATTTTTATTAGATTTTTCAAATAAGCTTATATCAATAAATATTTGTATTTCCATTTAAATTCATTCTCTAGTTACAAGTTATAACTCATTTTGAAATTAAAATATTTATAAAAGCCCACAAGGTTTCCTGAATAAATTTGATAATAAGACAATTTACTATAGTAGGTTATAATACGAAATGGATATTTCTGGATGAAAATTTGGTATGTTGTACGCCTGAAAGCACGCATAAGAAGGCATTAATACATGTGGATGTAATATTCTTTTAAAAAAATTGAAATTATTTTAAACAGTAAATTTAGCTTAATAAATTTAATTTTACCTATCATTTATAATGTTATAAAATATTTAAAAAAAATATCTTAATATTAGGTTATATTTATTATAATTAAAGTTTAAGTTTTAAGTTTTTTATTTTTATTATTTTTAAAGTTTGTGGATTATTAAATTGTGTAGTTAGATAGGTCATATTAAAAAAAAAAATGTTTAAAATACTAATGGAATTACTATCTAATGCAGTAATATTACATTTTGCATGAACAGGTTGCATGGATGGGTTTACCATCTCTAGATGTAGTTATAGCATTTGCTGGTCAAATAACATGTCGCTATATGAATATCAAAGCTAAACCATACAGATCATTAGATAACTGGCCAGTTTATTCACAAGTCTTGGAAATAATAAAAATGAATGCAAAAGACTTTGTTTTTAAGGAATATGATGGTACTCACCATTTACATCTCAATAATCCAGAGTGTTTAGCTTCAGATGTTGCAACTTTCATTCAAAAGTCTATAAGCTAATCACTATGATTTTATATCATATATCTTACTTGTAATTATGAAATAGTACCTATTAGTTTACCTATATTATACATTGTATGTATATCATATTTAGTAATAATATTATTTATAAATACAAGTACTATATATTATTTTTTATTTTATTTATTATAATATAATTGATATATAACTTATCTATTAATAGATCTATATTATTATATATTATATTTATAATATACCTACCTATAGTTGACATTGCTACCAAATTACATGTTAAAGTTGGTGCTCAATCCTTAGACCCCCCTCATGACCTCATGTACTATCTGAAACTGTGATGATTCTTATATTACTTGTTATTTAATTGTTCAGTATTTTCTTTCAATAGGATCTATTAATAAAAAAATGTATTTTATGCTATTAAATCATGGCACCATTCCTTTTTAAAAAACCCTTTGGAATAAGTGTAGATATTAATTGTTAAGATTTTAGAGACTTCTATGAGTTTTAACTACATCATAAATTATTGTGATCCAAAAAAATTGTTATGAAAAGTATTATTTACACACATAAGAGATACATTTTGTTAAATAAAGAGAATTTTATATAGAAAAAGTTGGATTCAGTTTTTGTGGCAAATTTTTCTGGTTCATGCCTTTAGCAGCTACGACCATGGTGAGTCATAACTCGAAAATAAGTGAAAATTACTATTTAGCTAGAGATTCTTAACCGGGATGCCATGAAATTATTTCAAGTATAAAAAAATCATTCATATTTTTCAAAATATAAAGAAAATAATTTTATGAAAAATGCCACGTAGGCATGTGTGTAATATATTAATCAGTATTTTTATCAAATTTTTATGTGTTTGGTTAGGTTACCTAGATAAAGAAAATTAATGGAGGTGGTTAACATAAATTGATTAATTGATACATAACGTTATTATACAACTAATTATATTCCAAATCAGTATTGAGTATCATTACATTTATTTTTATAATTAAGGGATCCACTGAACACCACTCAGCACTCGCCCCTTTATTTAAAAAAAAAATGTCAGAGGCAATATACTCTGAAATTATCGTTTGCTATGCTACTAATAATTACTAATTTCTAATTGATATGTAATAATAGGGGTGTAGCTCAGGAAAGCATAAATATACACTTTGAGAACGATGCGATTTTTACTAGTTGTTATTAGTTATGTTAATCAGATAATGTCGAGACTCAATACTTGCATTATTGCAAAATCAGTTTCATGGTCTAACTTGCTAGAAAAAAATTGAAATTACATGAAGTAACAAACATGTCGTACATACAAGGTAATATTAATTTAAAAAACTTTATTTAAGTATTTGTAAACTAAATTTACCTTTTTTTTAGACATTTTTTGAAAGATTTAAATAACATATGAAAATTATTGCCTAAAAAAATCAAAAATATAATTAAATTTACTTTGGGTGTGCTGCTTAAAACGCATAATTTTTGTAGCTTTTTTCAAACAATGTTTCAGGAAATAATACAACTGTAACTGATTCTGAGTTATCATTATAAATTATTAATATTTGATCAAAATAATATTATACTTTACGTTATGACTAACATATTACATACATTATAAAATATTTAATCGTCAAAGGCCCTAAGGGACAAGGGCTAGACCTTATCTAAATTTAACCCTTAACCTTCACTATACAGCTGTTTAGTATTCTAAAAAATTGCTTTATCATATTTTATCTTTTCCATTCAGAATTAAACTATTATTTGTTATTTAATCATATTATTTATTGTTTATAAAAATAATGAAAATTACATTGTATGAATTTATACGTATATATTTAAATAATTATTTGCACAAGTTACTAAATTATTTTTATTACAGGTTAACAGGTTTGCTTTACCATCATTTGACGTAACTAATGAATTCGCAAAACAGATTCGCTGTCGTTACTTAATGATCAAAGCAGTTCCGGGTAGGGTGCGTGATAATTGGTCACTTTTTCAAAGTATTTTAGAAACGATAAAACATTCTACAAGTGATTTTAATTATGTAGAAGTTGAAGGGTCTCATCATGTACATTTAAATGACGCTTCGAAAGTTGTTCCACATATCTTAAATTTTATTTTAAAAGTGGCTTGATTGTTCTTTATAATTTTGATTATATATTAAAGGTAAAAGCAGATAAATGCATACTTACCAAAATATATTTACATTATAATTTATAGTATATACATTAAATTTAATAAAGAAATTAATAAAAGTGAAATGATTATTATTTATTCTGTTGTAAATAACCATAGCAATTATTATTCGTTGTTTTCTATGACTCTGCAGTTTTTATTTAATATTAGCTTTAGGTACACATATTACCAATTTGATTTATTTTTTTGTATCGAACCACAAGTATCGACTATATACCTATTTATGGTTAAAAATAACTTAAGTGTCTAATTTATTATTTAAAATTTATATGAAAACTTTTTTTGGTAATATTAAACATATTTTATTAACTCTTAAAGTATCTAAAAACGAAAAAACTAAAAAAAAAATATTATCATATTAAGTTAAAGTGTAAAATATTAGTTTTTCTTAGTGGAAATTATTCTATAGGGTCACATGCATACATACTTCAATATCGTGATTTACAATAATATATCGATAAGAGATTGCAAGACACATCGTACATTTGAAGTAAGTGCATCTACTTTTGAATTTTAATTAGGAAAAATAGTTTATCTCTTATACATTTTTAATGCCAGCATCGCATCAATATCTAATAAATAAAAATGGATGCTAAATTTGGTCTACTAGTAGTAACTTTATTGAATAGGTACCTATAGGTTTCAATTTGGGTCAATATCATCTGAATAATAGATATTTTTTTCTAATGTGCTTGGTGTTTGTACTAAAAATAAAATTTAGAACAAAAGAGCTGTAAGTGTTTAATAACGTTACTCTCTATAGGACAGGTTAAAATGAAAATTGATTGATGATTGTACTTCTATAATATATTATTATCAACATATTAAATAGGTAGCTGACATTCTTTATAGTCATTTTACCACTTTCACCAGCAAAAATATTAAAATTAATTAAATTAATTTTGAATATTAATACGATACTTACTAAAATATTTTTATAATATTTGTATTAAATATTAAATTCAATTTTATATTTTTTTGTTGCTTGAATATTTTAAAATTCATTATTTATGTTAATGGCATTATTATACATATAGTACTTTTGCCTATTGTTATATAGAACCACGATTTTAGATTTATTTATCCGTGTCTAAAGACTAAAACTACTATCTACTGGTATTAAGCATAAAATATTTTTAAAGTTTATATCTATTAGCTATTGGCTACATACTTATTATTTATTAATACATAAATATATACTCTATTTCTGATTAATATAGAATCGCCAAATGTAACTTTTTGAGTATTCTCGCCTAAAAACACACACACATTAAAAAAAAAAAAATAGAATGTAATTTTTTTAAATAGGTACTTATATAACACTGCTCCAACTAGTGCTAAAATCTTATTGCATAATAATTAATATGCGTAGCGGTTTTTACAATAGAAAATAGTTTGTTTACGAATATTGGAAAAGTGTTCCTGTTATTTGAATGATTTCAAAAATATCGCTTGTTTTTTAATCCTTACATATCTATTTAAAATACACAGTATACTAATAATTAATATACTTGTTTCGAGTATAACCATTGGCCGTAAATCGTAATATATTATGCAAGTAAACGTTAGCCATTAGGTTGGCAATGCACCAATTAATTTAACATGGTAATAATATGGTATAATAATGTCATGTTAACATCTTTTAAGGTTTAATTTTCATACTTTTAATGAAAACTTTGTTGTGTAAGAATTTAGAAAAATGATTATTTAAACATATTTGATTTGATTTTCGAGTTCAACTGATTAAATATTGCTTAACTTATAATTTTGTTATTTAATATATATGTTACGGTGAATGATGTAAACGTGGTAAAAGACGTCATTCCCCGGTAAATGACATCATTTACCTAAAAATTGGTAAACGTTGTAAATGCAGACATTCCCCGGTTATTGTCGTCAATCACCAGTTTAATCGGAGAATGATGTTTAATACTTTTATTTCGGTGTGAACGATCAGTGATAAACGTGTAGGTACCGAATATTAAGCTTCGTTAGTTAAAAATATCACGACGGAAGTAGATAGATAAACGAAAATCCCAACTAACAATAACGTCAATTCTTTTAGTTTATTAGTTAGTATCGTCGGGCATATTATAACAAGTTGTATTTGCTACAAATATGTGTTAATATTATTTGTAAAAATGTGTGTACTAGTTGTGGTACTAAAAATGTGTTTGAAATGCAGCGGAAATGTTGTGTAGTTTAAAATATGGTAATTAAATTTTACAAATAAATAATTTGTAATATGCATGTATTTTAAAATTTTTAATTAACCTATTATCTCTTTCAAATAAATGCCTAAAATAAAAAATGAAACATCCACCAACACTAAGTCATTATTATAAATAGTACCTATAGTAAAAAAATCAGTGTATTATTTGAGATTTATCATCATTTACCACTAGTTTTGGTAAATGACAACAATGACCGGTGAAAGATGTACATTTGAATTTAAAATCTGGTTTTTTACATCATTTACCTACAAAATCAAATCATTTTGGTAAAAAACGTCATTCACCGGAGAATGACGACATTCACCAATATTCATCTTTCACCGTAACATATATATACCTATATTGGCTATATTATGTTAGGTGTGTGATGACAAAATAAAATTACCTATTAACTAAGTAAGTAGATATTGTTATAGACATTATATTAATCATAATTATTATTGTATCGTTGATATTATTACAAATTACATTAAATTGTAGCGGCGTTGCGGAAATCATAATAGTTAAACAATTTCCGTGACATCATCGGTTCCACACACAAAAAAAAGGTTAATAAAGGTAGATATGTTTGATATTTTAGATTGCGGTTAAATTTATATATTGGCACCACATCAATACATCATCCCTTGAAAAAAGACAAAACCTAAAATTTAAAAATACGTATATATTCACTAAATGTGCTAATCCTTGTTTTTATACCTATACAAAGTATTTCACGGTGAACTGACAATTGCAATAACCTTTGTTTTATTGAACATTTTCAACTTTTTTTTTAAATTATCAAATGTCATCTGCGCAGCATTTAAATTAGTTTTTCAATTTTTTTTTTTTCAAAATTTTGTATGTAAAATTAAGAAATTAAAAATGTTCTATTTAGCCATTGTGTGTGCCAATAGTTGGCGCCTACAAAACCAAAATAACAAAAGAAAATTATGACGTAGTAGATATACAATCTAACGTGCCTATGATCGCTATGCACCGCCGTCTGACTCTCTTCGACACAACAAGGACAACAAGAAAAAATAATGGAAAAGGACATAAGTTATAAATCACAGGACATAAGAAGTAGAAGTTAATTAATGGGGGGACGCCTTGTGATCGGTTTGGTCTGCTGATGCAATGAGTTCACAGCGCTCACATGAATCGGACAATTATTTTAATTTGAAACATTTAAGACATTTACAACTAACTTAAAACTATATATATATATTATGTAGCTGGATGATCAGTAGTGATTGATTAGGCGGTCTCTCACACAACACAATAATATGTTGACATGTTGTTGGTGGTCTTACGCAGATGCGAGTGTTGCGATGAGGCCTCGAACGAAAACCCTTACCTTGTATTATATGGGGATACTATGTAGACTACTGACGTGGTTATAATAGCGCACGACAATCGGAATAACTTAAGACCAATTTAGTGCCATAATGGCGAAAAGTTTATATATACCTATAGTTATTAACACCGCAATAATGGCAACAGAAAAAACCAAAATGGATTGCATATATAATAAATAATAATATTAATGACGACAATGCGCAATGCAAGCGATGAAGAACAAAAAAACAGTAGTAAAACGAAAACTACAGAATAAAAAAAATGACGAGACAAATAATTCATAATAAGGGCGTTGGCCGAATACAGGTATCCTCAAATAATGGTAATAAAATAATAATAACGATTTGCACGACCAAAGAAAATAACTTATAATAATAATATGCAAAAGGCAAAACACTGTGCAAAAACAATATCAATTAATAGTGATGATAGCCCTAATAATAATCAAAGGTGGGCATTAACTAGTTAGTTTATTTTCCAATCAACTTATAAACTTAAGGAGTTTAATTGACAGTTGACATAACTTAGCTTTTTGCAGTTGATTTTTTAAATAAAATTATGAATTATAAATTGTTTTGTTTTAATGTTTTATGACCTTCAATTTCTATATTCTATAAAAAAATAGTATTTGTTAAATTATTAATTTGAGATATGTATAGTTTAAATTAATAAATAATATATCATGTAACGTAAAAGTAAAAAGGGTATTTAAACTGTACAGTGTGTATTATGATAAAAATTAAATAAAATTGTTTTTTATAGGTAATTTAGTAAATTAGAAAGACATAGGTAATCGTTTTTTATGTGACTTACATACTAATTAAAAATAAATAAATAAACTTTTTTTAAACTGAGTTAAATTAGTATTTTTTTCTATATTAAATGTTAACTTATCGAGTTAAATTTATAATTTGTTAACAGTTATCTTCTAACTTATCGATCTTGTGCTCTTTTAACTTAGTCAAGCTTAAGTTAAATATTTTCATTAACTTTCCCACCTTTGATTATAATAATAATAATAGTAGACAACATCGGATAAGAAACGGAGAACGAAGGGAAAGGTCGAGTCGTTCCGCGATCAGAAAACCGCGATAATATATTATTATCGCGGTGCTAACAGCCATTTTATTGATATGATTTTTAAAACATATTCGCAAAAAAAAAAAAATAAAAAATGAAAAATGTTCAGTCGTTTATTTTCTACGATTTTTTGAAGTTTGCAGAATTTTATATTATTTGAAATAGATTTAATGGAAAATGGATATTCGATAGTCGCTGTTACACTAATAAACAAAAAATAAATTTAAATTTAAGCAAACTTTAAAAATTGTTTAAAAATTATTGACTCAACAGTCAATCTTAGTACGTAAAAGTTTTTGACATCAAATTTTTTCTAAAAATCGGTTTTATAAAATGGCTATCTTGTTTTTTTTTTAATATCAAGTAGAATTTTTTTAATTTTGCATACAAAATGTTACAAAAATAAAATTGAAAATGTTCAATAGAAATAAAGTTATTGCAATTGTCATTTCATCGTGAAATACTCTGTATAGGTAATATAAATAGGCATATTCAAAATGTATTCAAATTATTTTGATTTTTAGAATTTTTTAGTATAAGTACTTAAGGTATTTTGGACAATATTTTCAAATACTCGAATTTTTCATGTAATTTAATAAATTTCCTGACGGTTGTAATACAAATATGTTTTTTCTAAATTTTAACCTCTTTTTTATTATAAATTATTAAGGAGAAGATTCTTTTAGAAAATATTGATGTTGATGTTAATCGAATTTTAAACAATTTTTCCTAAATTGTAAAGTTAACTTGAAATACTGTAGAAAGTATATTAAAGACTTAAAGTTATAACACTTATAACCAGGGCTTCTAAACGGTTAAAACCGTTTTTGTTATTTTAACCGGTTTTATTGAAAAATTGATACAAACGAAAATAAAAGTGGGACTACTATTAATTATTTTATAGAATAAAAACCAAATAGTTAATCAGAAATATTTTTAGTTATCGAATGAAAATAAATAAATTTTTAATTATAAATTAATACTTAATTTTAAACATTTTGTTTGTAAGGTATGAAAAAAATGATAGTTGTATGCAATCGCGGTCAAAGGCCATGGTCACAATCATGATAACGATCGTTGATTTTTTTAATTAATTATTTTATAATTATGACAACACATTGTCAGAGTTATAAAGTTGATATTAAATATTAATTTATATATTTTTAAAGGAAAAAAATTAACCGGTTTTATTAATATTTGAAAACCAATTTTAAAAAACTATAAAATATGAGATCAATATTAACCAGTTTTTAAAACCAAAAAAAAATAGTAGAATCTTGGTAATCCGGCTGTATTATAACCTATGTCCTATATGTATCAATATGTATTTATAAATTTACTATCGTAAACGATAAACCTTTAGATAAAACTAAGTAATAACAGATTAAATCCTAATAAACAAAAAACAAAACTGCTCTCAACCTAAAAGATTTTTAAATCATTTTTTAATACGAGTAAAAATGTAAAATTCAATAAGTAAAAATGCGTTTTTTTGTGAACTCCCCACTAATCTGGCGTTTTTGTTAATCCGGCAGTAGCGTGGTCTGATATATGTCGAATTACCGAGATTCTACTGTATAAGTACCTACATATTTAATAACATCATGTTTACGAGTATATATTGTTAGAAGTAATATATTTGTACTTCGCGGATTCAGAAATTGATAAAAACAATTTTCCCCTTCTCCGTATAAATTTATAAATTATAATATTTAAAGCGCATACACGTATACCTGTATTAAATAATTAGCACCTTCAGACTTCATTTATTACTGTATTTAGTATATTGTGTTCAAAATGTAAAGTATAGTATATTATTTTAAATCGTATTATTTGTTACCACAACTTCTTTGGTTTTACGCATGGTATGCCAGATCACTTGATGTTGATATAAACAATTAAATCTTATGGTTTATTTTGATTCTTAAAGATAATATTGTCAGTACAATATATTAGATATATAGGCGTCATTGTTATAATAAATTATATTGTGACATTGATAGTTCAATATCTGACCTCATTCAATTTATAAATTATACCTAGTTAACATTTACCGCAACACGTAGTGTATTTTCAAGTTATATCTATAGTGCCTACCTACAAAATCTATTGTATAAATTACAAAGAGTACAAAGTAATTTCGTTTTTATTTTTTATAACATATTGCCACATCATTTATACATAATATACACTTCAGATCACTTCGCAGTTACCATGAGTGTGTTCATTAGTTATTCTACTTATATCTTAATCATACTTGTATTTTCATTATTATCTGACTGCAGTATTTTACAAGAACCTAATAAAAAACAACCACATATCATTATTATCGTTGCTGACGATTTGGTGAGTTCTCCTTTCAATACTGGAATAATATTATTATTTATAATGTATAATATTATCGCAGATATTACTTATAAAGACTAATGTTAGTAGTACATCCAAATAACAAAAAGTTCATTTTTTTGAATAATACAAAATCAATTCGAAGTACCTATTTTTTTTTCCGTATCTTTAAATTTAATATTTTGTTAGATTGTACGCCTCATTATAATTTTTAAACATTTTCACATAACTAATTTTAAAATATTTAAAAAAAAAAAAAAAACGAAAAATTGTATGTTACATTCTATACTTCATATCTATTAGATAAGTTGACGGTTAAGTTTTTATTTGTGACACAAATTTTCATTTTTAATAACATGTAATAAATATTTTTGAAACGAACCAAATAAATAAATTCAACATTTCCCGCCATTAGTTAATTTTTTTCACGTATACCCCTTGAGATTATCTCGCGTACCCCTGCCGGTTGAGAATCACTGCTATAGACTATAGCTGCTGCCTGCCAGCTGGTAGTAATTAGGTAATGGAGTATTCAGGATTACATTTGAGGGTAAGGGGTATAAAATCAGATTATTTAATGAAAATATAAAATCTAATAATAATTTTTTTTATAATGACTTTATTGTAAATACTAATATATTGCATAGTTTACTGTACACAATGTAAACATAAAATGTAGGTACAAAACTTGAGAAATAATAGTACTTACTTAGGTGATTATATGGCTACATTAGTACAGTAGTGAACCGTAAATGTGTATATCTGTATATGTAAATATTATGTTTTTATATATTAATAGGGATGGAACGATGTTGGTTTTCATGGATCAATTCAAATACCCACACCAAATATTGATGCTTTGGCGTATAATGGTGTAATATTAAATCGCCATTATGTTCAACCTACTTGTACTCCATCGAGAGCTGCTTTGCTTACCGGAAAATATCCGATTCGATATGGTAATATGAAATTATTGCATACTCATCCATATTATTTCGTACTCCATTACTATATATAAATAGTTTATTTTATTATTTAGGTAATTTATTAATACAATGTCATTTTAATATGACGTGAAATGTATTTCTTAATTCTTAATTTATTGTAATTTTTTAACCTATTTTAAATTATGTTACACTTATAATTTTTACTTTCGTGAATTAGTGAAATGTAAATTGACTATTTCAACTAAAGATGGGTGAAAATTAAGTTTTTATGAATTCGAGTTCAATACTGCATGATTTTTATCTCAAAATGAAAATAGAATCTTTTTAAATTTTTTTTTTCAAATTCATGTATTTTAAAAGAAGATATAATAGTAGTAGAAATATTTTTACACTTAATAAAAAATAAATAATAAATCAATCAGTTGTCGTAGGTAATCAAACATTTTGTACTCAATTATGCTCAAATTATTCGAAATGTTCAAATTTATACCTTAGACCAGCGGCTCCCAAACTTTTTTTCCGCGGTGCCATTTTAGGGGCATCAAGTTAGCCACGGTGCCCTGCTGTATATAACATGAAAGAAAGAACAAAAAAAGTACTCATTGAGAACTAATGAAACGTAGACCGCGATGCCCCCAGAAAATGCTCACGGTGCCCCTAGGGCACCGCGGTGCACAGTTTGGGAACCGCTGCCTTAGACTATTCTCAAATTTTTGTGAGTTTGAGATTTTGAAAAGATTGGAACCTCATCACTATTTAGTAGTTTTAACACAAAGTGTATTGTCTTATTTTGTGTTTTACATTTAAGGCCTTCAAGGATTACCTATTATTGCTGGTGTACCCTTAGCACTCCCGTTAACAGAAAAAATTTTACCAGAAGTAAATATAATATGATGGAAAATATTATGACTACATTAGTAGTTTTTTATGTAATTACAGCTGACTAATTGTAGAAAATTTAGTATTTAAAAGATTTAGGTTATTCAACTCATTTGGTTGGTAAATGGCATTTGGGTGCTAACAAAATAAATCAGACCCCTTTGAAAAGGGGATTCGACAGTCATTTCGGCTATTGGAACGGATTCATTAGTTATAGGAACAGTACGCATTCTACGGTGAATAAAAGTTTAAAAATTATAATTATTCATAAATAGTAATTTGTTTTTTGAACAAATATTATTAAACAGGGATTAATGAGTGGCAAAGATGCTAGACGCGGATTCAAAAGAGCAGGAGATGAGATGGTTGATCAATATGCAACAGACATTTTCACCAACGAAGCTAATAAAGTTATAAAGTTGTGTAAAAATCAGGGAAAACCAATGTTTTTAATGGTTAGTCATTTAGCAGTTCATACTGGAGTACCTGGACCAAATATCTTGGAAGTTCTAAATAAAACACATAACGATATAAAATTTAATTATATTGAAAATAAAAAAAGAAGACTTTTTGCAGGTAAAAAGTAATAGTTAAAATTTTTGAAAATTTAATGTAACAAAATCATATAATAGTCATGGATACTAATAAAAATTTACAATTTCTACTATATATAATTGTTAGGTTAGGTTAGGTTAGGTTAGTGTTATATAAATTTGACTTTCTAAAACGTTTAAGAGAACGCTACATAGTAATGTGTTGTATCCGTCTTATAAACGAACAACACAGCAAATTTGCATTAGTATAGAACCAATTTTGTGTGTTTAGCTTAAAATATATTAGAGTAAAATTACGTGCTATCAAACTTAAAGGTAAGAATATTATCTATGTTTGTACGTAGGGTTTTTACGATATTTTAAATTTTAACTAAGTTAAGAACATTTTAAAATTGTTATATTTTACGTACTCATAACTCGCTTAAAATTTAAAATAGATGTCGTAAAAACTACGTAAAATTGTATAAACATAGATTATGTTCTTACCTTTAAGTTTGAAAACAGGTCATTTCACTCCAATATTTAAGCTAAATACAAAACTTGTTCTATTGACTGAAATTTTACTATGTTGTACGTTTATAAGATGTAGACAACATGCACATATGAATGTGGTGTTCTTTTGGCTTTTAATAAAGACGAAATTCAAATCGTAATACAAAAGTACACAATCAATGAACAAAACTGGTTAAGTGACGTTTAAAATATTTAAAAATAGGTGTAAAATTACAAGATACATATTTTATATTTTGATAGTTTTCAAAGTTAATGTTTGAAATTAAAAATATGTTTTATATACAAATTTCTAACATTCAAAAATTATTATTTATTTTATTAAATATGGACCTATATCCGTGTACAGATAGACACTAACTGCAAACTACTTATATGCTATTCTATACAATAGTTCTGGAGTGTTAGTAATTTGTTTGATTTAGATTTTTTATTTGACCTAAGAATTATAATAAATTTCAAATAATGATTATTTAGATTATAAGTATGACGTATGTTTATTGACGTTTTCAATTACATAAATGAAATATACTTAAAATTTTATGAAAAAGTTCCAAAAAGCTGAAAATGTTTACTAATTAGATTACTTGATCAAACAGCACTTAAAATAATTATTTTTACCGTTAAATTGTATCGTTTGATACTTTATGCGTATCAAAGTCAAGAACTATATTTCTACAAAAATTGTTCTACTAACACTATTTATTAGTGGTTTATTTTGGAAGAATATCCTTTATGTTTGGACATGGACTTAAAAAAGTAACTTCGTGTATAAGTATTTTACTTATGTCTATTAAAATATTTATATTCAAACTGCAAAAATGAAATCAATTTTATTAGATTCAACATGTTTCGAGTTAAATTTTGGACACCCCTCGAAAAATCACCCAAAATACACCACTAATAACTAGATTTGACACATTACGCTTATCTATATTTTATTAATTATATTTTATACAGAAATAAATATTTATTTAATAATAAATAATTCTAGGAATGTTGACTTCATTAGACGAATCTGTTGGTAGTATCATTGAGTCATTGGATAATAATAGAATGTTAGAAGATTCAATCGTGTTGTTTATATCTGATAACGGTGCACCGGCTGATGATCCAATATGGGGTTATGAAAATTCAGGATCTAATTGGCCATTACGAGGAGTATATTTAATTATGTTCTATTATAAACTTAAGTCATTTTTTTATTTGAGTGGCAATAATATCATAATTTAAAACAAAATTTAGTATTTTACCATACAAACTTGGTTAAAATCTTTTTTGGGTATTCACAATACATCTGGTTTATAGAATAAAAATAGTATATTGTATTTAGCTATATAATTGATAAAGTATGTTTTTTTTGCAATCGTCATTTCTAAAATCGAAATCATAAATGTGTAGTCTTTGTTTTTTGATGTAACCAAAAAATTGATAAGGCTAAAAAATTAATGATCACAAAATTAATGTGCACACATTATTTTATTATCGAGTACCTACTATCCATATCAAAAAATTACAATTACGTAGTCTAAATGCACGAAAATTTACGATTTATCTATAAAATAAACTATGTGGCTTATCTGTACTATTTAAAAATAAATTATTTTATAATTCCATAACTATAGGTAGTATTGGTACTTCAAGTACCTACTTAAAAATTTACATAAGTTACTTAATAAAATACAAATAAAAAAAATAAATATTTAGTTTTGAAAAATAAAATATACTTAATCTGTTTGTAATAATTACATTTTTATTATCATTTTTTTTTTATAAAAACCAAATGATTCAAAAAATATATAAATAATTTTGACACAGTTTCTTCATTTGACATGTATACAAAATACACGTATAATAAGTATAATTTTAATAAATTGAAGCCTAGACCTAACATAATTCAAATTGTTATAATGAATTGACTTATATTTCATCTTTTCATTGAATTATTTTTGATTACTGCATTTAATCCTGTTAAATGTATAAAATATATGAGAATAATTTATACTGTTGATAATAGTATAATATCTAGGAACAGTGGCGTATCCAGGATTTTTTTTAGGGAACACTGTCTAAAATTTTACCATATGTACTACCTACTACCAAAAACAAAAAAATAAAATAAACCAAATATTTAATGTTTATAGTGCAAATAATTTGTTTATATTTTCAGTCAGTCATTAAGTTATAATGATAAATAGTAATAGTTATTTAATAATAAAAACGGGTTAATCCCAACAAAATTATAAGTGTATGTAATGCTGGTATAAGAGTATTATTGTAGTATGCGTTCATGCATACAAATAAATTTAAATCTTTAAAACAAAATCTAGTAAATAAGGTCAACGAGGGGGGCATGGCCCCCGTGCCCCCCCTGGATACGCCACTGTCTAGGAATAATATAGGGTATAAACTTATACTTACCTATTATTAATATCTTCTTCCATACCATCGTGGCTTATTTTTTGGTGGTGGTATGTTACTACTTTATTTTATAGTGATCATTGATCATAATCTAAAACTAGTATTTGGTGTGAAAAAAATCTTTTATAATAATATAAATAAAATTTAATGTATTTAGGAAAAAGGAGCAGTACTTGACGGCGGAGTACGTGGAGTAGCTGCTATATGGAGTCCGTGGTTGAAAAAGAAACATAGAATTTCTGAAAATTTGTTTCATATAACCGATTGGTTGCCTACCTTATATACAGCTGCAGGTAAATATAATATTATAGTATGCTGCTTTAATATTATGAAACATTTGAATCGAGAAATCAGTAAATTATTCGATATTTTCGATCCTTATAAATTATAATATAATTATACATCTATACGACTATACGTCAACATAATATAACATTATTTTTTTTCATTATAATAATCTACAATCTTTACAATTTTTGTACACAAGTAGGTTTGATAAGTGACCAATAATTATAGTTAACAGTGGTTCTTAAGAATAGGGAAGATATCAATTGGCCATTGATGACATCCTTCGAAGTGAAAAATAACAAAAAAAAAAAAAAAATAAATAATAATAATAAAAGTGAAAGAAGAAAAAATAACAACAATGAATCTTATAGTTAAGGCGATGTTACTCAATATAGTAACCTAGAACTTATGTTGCTTGGATACGAATTAAAGAAGGAGATCCCTACACCATTTTCTTTTAAATCTATGGAACGGGTTATCTGGAAGTGAGTTCGTTGATTATTTAAAGATTAATGGATTGGTGTTGTTATTGTGAAATCAGGTGAAATATAATTTGAACATTTGGTTAAGATTTTGGATTTTAAGATGTTTCTGGAGATTGTTATTGGTTATGTACCAGGGTACAGAATAAACTAGGCGAAGGTATATTAACTGAAAAGTTTTAATTTTTCGGGTGTTAGGAGATTTAGCTGCACCCCATAATTGAACGCCATAGGTCAACAGTAGCCTGAGTAAGGACTTCCAAATTAGTAGTTTGGTATTATTATTCATTTAACATTTCAGTAGAGGTATAAGGAGGTGAAGACGGGTTTTAAGAGCTTTTCGTTTAGCTTTTAGATGAGGATTCCAGGTTAGTTTACTATCGAGGTTAAGACCAATATATTTAACTTTTAAATAAATGGATATTGACATGTTGTTCATTGTGACTTTAGGAAAAGTTTCTTTTTTCAGGGATAATGTGATAAAAGAGGACTTAGATTCGTTAATTTTGATTTTCTATCTTTTTTTACCAAAATTCAATTATATTAAGATGTCTTTGTAAAATACTAGATATTATAAGATTGGATTTTTATTGGAAGCCAAAATTACCGTGTCATCCGTGTAGGAAGTAGGAACCAAGTTCAGTAAAGGAAGTCTTAGGAATGTAGTGTATAAATTAACTTAAAAAATTTCTAAGTTAAAGGGTAATAAGATAAACGTAACATTGCGTTGTAGATATAGGAAAGTAATATACAGTAGAATCTCGGTAATCCGGCGTTTTCGTTAATCCGACAGTAGCGTGGTCTGATATGTGTCGGATTACCGAGATTCTACTGTAATCACTTTTTTGAGTAGATTTTGGCAGTACGATTTGTGATGCGATCGAACCCGGAAGTTTTTCTGCTATGGAGTTTTTTAATAATAAATTCAATTTCTCCGGTACTAGTGTGTTTAGCTGGAATATAACATTAATCATAAAAGTATATAATATTATTATTAATAATAATTACAATTTAGCACTCTACATAAGTTTATCATTTTCTTATAATATAATTGTGCGTTAAAGTGGAAAAAGCATATTCAGTCATTATTAATAAGGTACTAATAAGTTAATTTTTAGTTTTGACCTCTTTAAAGTACAAAATAGATCCAATGTTGCTATCTATAAATCACCCTTAAAGTTGAAAATCATTTTATCAACTATATATATCGTGTATTCGTGTATATAGGCAAAAGAAGCACATATATTATTGTAAATTTAATTTAATACATTTATCACTTCGCTCAAAAAGTTACAAAATATATTATTTAAATTTTTTAATATTTAAGGTGGTAATTTTGATAATTTGGGTCAAATTGATGGTGTTGATCAGTGGGAGAGTTTGACCGAAACTTCAAAACGTATAAGATCAATGGCTTTAATTAATATAGATGAAACAAGTGGAGAAGAAGCATTGATTTTCAACAATTGGAAAGTCGTAAAAAGTAAGCGTTTTTAATTTTATAAGTACCTAAAACTAATCTAAATGGGTTAAATATGCTGATTATAAATAGGGCCTCACAAAGGGAGGGGATGATTGGACCTGAAGTTCAGAAATCATCTATATTTTAAAGGCACGTTGAAATTAATTCGTAATTTTTGAATGTTTTTATATACATATTATTTTATAATTCATGTTTATATATTTTTAATATTTTGTCATTTTAATATTTTAATTTATGGGTTAACTATTAATTTCTAAAAAATTATATAGGGGTAAATATATCGCTTGTAATGGGATGTAAGTTGTAACTATTTTCAATTAAAAAGATTAGATTTGTTTATCTGTTATCTCAATCCAAGCTAGATTTGATTATTATTGTTCTATACGCTGGATCAATCAAATACCGAATCTAAATCATTTAAAAAGTATTGTAAATAAAAGAAGACATTATTCTCAAAATTCTTACAATTCTTGAATTACTTATAAATAATTCATGGAAAATTGTATTATTAAATATTTTGTTAAGGGACCCGCAAAAATATTTAATATTAAGATCTAAAATGTGGTAGCTGGTTATAGGTAATAGGTATATTTCCTTAACGCTCTATGTATGTTTTAAGTTATAAAGGTAACAGTGAGTTAACATAATGGGAACATTGGCTATTTTTATGACATAAAGGCAGAAAGAAAATATGATAAAAAACTCCAACTAGTATACGAAAGATATTGTAATAATTATTAAACTAACTACTATCTATGAGTATTTTTGTCAATTTGTTTCTTTTAATGCTTTTAGAAACATTATAAATTTATTTAAAAAATATAATACTTTATTATACCTATTACCAATCATTACTATCAAAATTAAAATTTACAATGATTTACTATATTTATGAATTTATTATTATTAAATGGTAATGCGGGGAAGGGACAAATACCCAAAACCCTCCTAACTACTCCACTAGATTCACTACACGTAATTTCATAATTCAATTAAATTTTTAAGGTAATCGCACAAGTGACATTGTCTATTTCCTGAAATACAGCGGTGAACCCGGAAACATAGGACCGGACTATAATATGAATGCCGTCGCAGATAGTCTGACTGGTTCGCTTTTATCGAAAATTAACTGTTTAGCGTCTAAAGCAGACTGCATGGACACGTTGACTACATACGATTTGTTTTATAACATTCGTTCCCAGGCCAAAATTGATGGCAAATGTACCCAACGAATCTCTGACTCAGATCCTAACGGGCGTTATGAATGTTTTGATAGCCCTTGCTTGTTCGATATACAGAAAGACCCTTGCGAATATCAAAACATAGCCAGTGGACATCCGGAAGTTCTTAACATGACGGTAGATATGTTGGTACAATTCAGAAAAGAACTTACGATGCAAAACAATCAGAAAATCGATCTCGAGGCAGACCCTAAATTTTTTGACGGTTATTGGGATACGTGGATGGAAAAATCTGACGGTTCGATTTTATTCGGTGGAAGATTACAGTCGCGCGTTATTTTAATTTCAATGATGTGTTTTTATTATTATTTTATAATTTGATGACATTTTGTCATATATATACATATATTTATACATATTGCTTCAAAGTTCAAAACAAAATGCATAAGCATAAAATAATATATACTTCGTATATAGCGGTATACTATAAATTCAATCATTAAAATATATATGTTTATACTTGAATATTTATAATATGGTGATATTAATATTATTTTTATTATGTAGATACACCGATATAGCTTTACATATTTCAATGAATTTTTTTTCTTCGAGAAGGTCATCTTTTTTAAAATATATTTACCTATTATAGACTGTGTATATTTTATTAAATTTCATCTTGTGTATCCTTGGCATTGGTTTAGAAATTAGCACGAAAATAAAATTAGAATGGCTACTCGAACATACCATGATAAATCTTACGCTATAAATTATAAATATGAATAATATGATTTTAATTGCATATAATGATCTAAATTTGAACTATACGCTAATAATCTATAATTTATAATCTATATTTATATTAATTCATATATGAATACAAGTATATAGACTTTATAACTTTATAAGAATAAATGAACATAAATAGGTAATTATGTTTTGTCTTTATGATCTACCAACTTAACTAACACATTTATTTTGATAACTTTCATACAATTTTTTTCTCAACTAGGTGTCTAGGTTTTTAAATTATAAATATTTTATTAGATAGGAACCTACTTAAATAATTAAAATGACATTTAAGATAAATGTCTTAAATAATATTATTTGAATGATCAATAATTTTTTACGTGACAAAAACATTTATCTATTGCCTCAGGGAATTGAAAAAAAATGATTCTTAAAAATAAAAAGAATATGGATCCAAATACCCAATTCATAATATGTGTATAGATTTAATCTTGATTCGTGATCTGTAGTCTGTACTCTGTACTCGAGTCTCGAAGGTACTAACTTGATTATTATTAAATTGTGCTAGGTCAGTAACAATTACATCTTATCATCCGATAGTTATTACTTATTATTGTGATACCAAGGGTTATGACATGATTCATACACAGATGTCTATAATTTATGTGATACCTATATCAACATTATCAACTAAAAAATCTTAGAATTAATAGAATTTGGAATGTTTAAATTATAAAAGAATATAATAATTAATGATTTACTAATCTTAAATTTTTATACGATTTATAATATTTATATAATAGCGAGTATAATAGTGAATACTGAATTTATTCAACAATATTAATAGGTTGAGTTTATTTTACCTACTCATTGTAAATTATAATAATGTAGTGTTTAATTTATAGTCAGTTACAGACTACAGTAAAAATGTTTTAATGTTCTAAATATAATCACATTTACAAAAGCTGAACACTATGGTAAGTTAAATAGCATTATTTATTAATGGAAATACTGTAAGGTTTAAGTACAGTATAATAATTAAGTTAGATATAGGTTCAATTTAAAGTAACAATTTAAGGTATACAGAATTAAGAGTACTAAATAACACCTGTTAATATTATTAGCCTTATTAATCTTAATTTTAATATACTCATTGTATTTTGTTATTTAACAGGTGTACAGTGCAGGGGAAATAGAAAATGTCCGGGTCGCGGTACGTTTGCGACCTTTAAGCAAAAAAGAGAAATCTGCAGATGCACAACCTGTGGTTGTGGCCGATTCTGAGAATGCAGCTGTTTTTGTTAAAAATCCAAACCCATCACATGTTGGTCCTCCAAAGACTTTCATGTTCGATTTAGTATTTGATTCTGATTCTAAACAAGTGAGTTTGAGATGTTTGGTTAGACATTTTATATGAATATCATTTAACAAGTGAAATTCAATAGTTGGATGTGTATAATGAAGTGGCGCGACCAATTGTTGACAAAGTTTTTGATGGCTTCAATGGAACAATATTTGCTTATGGACAGACTGGTACTGGCAAGACATTTACAATGGAAGGATCTCTTTTATCTCCAGAGCTTAACGGAATAATTCCTAACTCATTTGCTCATATTTTTGGCCATATTGCTAAAGCAAAGGAAGATATAAAGTAAGTAGGTTTTATTCATTATATACACTTTTCACAAGTAGATGGAGTACTTACTATAAATCTAAAAAAATAAAATAAAAATACAATAATTAAAATAACTGTTAAATGATTTATTTATAGTTAATTTAGAAATTTACCTGCAAATTATATTTTTAATTAAACTTTATATCTATGTGTTATTTATTTTTGTTTTTGATAGGTTTTTGGTTAGCGTTTCTTACTTTGAAATCTACAATGAAGGTGTTTATGATTTGTTGAGTAAACATGTATCTACTGAATTGGAAGTAAAAGAAAGACCAGATGTTGGTGTGTACGTGAAAGATTTATCAACATATGTAGTAAATAATGCAGATGACATGCACCAATTGTTGATGACTGGAAACAAAAATCGTAAGTACTTAAAACAATGAATAAAAGACAACTTATTTGGTGTTTATTTTTTAGGTGCCACTGCCGCGACAGCTATGAATTCTGAAAGTTCTCGATCACATGCGATATTTTCAATTACCATTGAAACTAGCCGACCTGATGTTACTGGCGAGTACCATGTCAAAGTTGGCCGACTTCGATTAGTTGACTTGGCAGTAAGTATCAATTTTAATTGCTGCTGTCATTAAAATATTATTAAATTACATACATTTATTTAACAAGGGTTCAGAGCGACAATCAAAAACAGGTGCTCTTGGTATAAGATTTAAAGAGGCAACTAAAATTAATTTATCTTTATCAACTCTTGGAAATGTAATTTCTGCGTTGGTTGATGGAAAGTCTACTCACATTCCCTATCGAAATTCAAAACTCACACGAATATTACAAGATTCTTTGGGAGGAAACTCAAAAACAGTTATGGTAAATTAAAAATTAATTTTATAGTTATAATTAAATATATTTAAATTATTATTTCTATATATGCACGTTTTATTCATTTATGAATTTATATTATATTATTTATTAAATTTATTCAGTGTGCCACTGTGGGACCAGCCAGTTTCAACTATGATGAAACTATTAGCACTTTACGATATGCTAACCGAGCCAAGAATATTCAAAATACATCCAAGGCTAACGAAGATCCAAAGGAAGCATTGCTCAGACAATTTCAAATGGAAATTGAAGCTTTGAAAAAGCAAATAGATGATAGCAGTAAGGGTCTTAGTGAAGCAGATGATGATGGCGAGGAGGAAGGAGAAGAAGGACTGGTTGTTGGAGCTTCTGAAGAAGTAGCTAATGCAGTCCAGAGTAAACGTGAAGAATTGGATGCAGCGCGCCAAGAAATGATTAGGTTAAAGGAGAAATTGGAAAACATGGAGAAAAAAATAATTGTTGGTGGTGAGAATCTATTAGAAAAGTCTGTGGCACAAGAGAAGTTGTTAGAAGATTCAGCAAAAGAACTATTAGATAGAAAATCTAGACAGATGAACTTAAATATGCGTTTACAAGAAGTGCAAGCTGAAAAAATGGACACTGAAGATAAATACAGTGGCTTGCAAGAGAGATCAGGAGCATTAACTAAGAAATTAAAGAAATTATCTGCAGCTATTTTAGCTGTTAAAGAAGATCTTAAAGATACTGAAGATGAAGGCAAAAGAGAAATAGTGGAATTAAAACAGATTTTAAAGCAGACTTCTAAGGAATTAAAAATGCAAGAAGTCATTATTGAGCATTTTGTCCCTGATGATTATTTAGTAAGCTATTTAGATCTTATTAAATATATTAATTTTTGTTAAACACATTGAGCTGATACTGTTGTTTTTTGTTGTAATTAACAATGGTGATTGATTAATTAAATTACTTCAAGAACTTCTGTTTACCTAAAACTAAATTTTGTTTTTGAGAGGATGTCATACGTACAAGTCTGGTTCCCATCTTATTTATAACACAGTAATATTTACTTTAAGCAGATCTAATTTTGTGTAGTTAACTTAAATATTAAAGTGAATATCATACTCAAAGGTAAAGTATTAGCAGTGTTCTATTGAAGGATTTATTATATTTTAATTTGTAAGCACATGTCATAAGAAAATTACTAATATTTAAAAATACTCAAAATTCACTTAATAATAATTAAAATTTTGTAAATAACCAACTAGAGAATTTAGATATTTGTTAATAGATTAATTCATTCTTAATATTAAAGCTAATAAAGATTAGAACTATACATTTTGGTATGTTATGTGTAAGTAAATAAAAAATAAAATAAAATACAATACAGATGGTATAACATCTTTTTAAATTAGAGTATTCAATTGAATTTTTTTCTATAATTAACCAGACATTTCATCGAATATTAAGAACTTCAGACTTCGTTTCTTTTATATAGTTATAAATTATAATTATATATAAACTGGGCTGCCATAAATATTCTGAATATCTAAAAGTATTTAATAAAAAATATTAATTTAAAAGTTGAAATTATACTTGATGACATTTCCTTTAAATCTTATTTGCAATTAATAGGTTTTTTCATCTAATCTAGATAAGATTTTTGATGCCATTAAAAAGTATCACATGTATTTATAACATTGTTTTTATTAAAGGAACTTATTAAAAAGAATTCATTTTGGAATGAAGAAATTGGAGAATGGGAATTAAGATGTGTAGCATATACTGGCAACAATATGGCAAAAGAGTTGCCTAATGACGAAGAAATTACTTTTGAGGTATGCTGTGATTATAATTATTTATTATTTTATTTAGTTTATACTATTATTATTAGGGCCCAGATTTAATTATCTTAAAATAATAAAAATGCCTTTTCAATGCAATTATGTTTAAAAATGAAGACATTTCTTTTCATGTAATCTAACGAATTACAATAAAAATCAAGTAAAAAAATTTAGGATCTAATTAATATACTAAAAACACTTAAAATGTATTTATTATTGGGAAATAAAAATGAATTCAATTTCCTGAAAATGCAAAGTAGTTTTACCTTTGAAGACGTATTTATTATATGAAACAAATTATGTACCTACTACATAAAAACACATTATCCTAGAGTATCCATAACATAATGCAATGCACATTGCATTGAAATCTGGGCTCTAATTAATATTATTTGAATCATATGTAAAATATTAAATTCAATTTCCAACAACAGTCTGACAGGTAATTTTTACTGGATACTTTTATTGAATGACACTCATTTTAAAATATCTTTCATCATTCATTTTTATTTGAAGCAGAATATTTCAATACATTAAAACACAAGTTCAGATAAATAAATGGTTTGAGTTATTATTATTTAAAGTTTAGATGATTGGAGTTGTGATCCACATATTGTGGGGCTTTTGTTCACTCTCCAAATTTTAATTTTCATACATTAAAGTACTCAAATAAATATTCTGTTTCTGAATATGAAATTGATGTTTCATTTGACTAAATAATTTTCATAAATGTTAATAGATTTTGAAATACAAGTATGTGATAAAAAATTAAAAATTATTCTTATAAGAAATAATAATTGTTTTTAGACTCGCAGACCAGATTTTTCACATGTTTATCTGACTTATAAAGACAAAGTACAGACAAGATCAAAATCAAGAACTGGAAAACGAACTTAATTTTTTTTTCTTGAAAATATATTAATTTTTTATGTTAAGGAAACCCTAGTCATATTTTTTCTTTTTATGAGAATACATCACCACATGTGTATTTATCCATTTTTGTTAATTTTGTTTTTTAAGTTAATAATTTATAAAGCACTCTTTAGTATGTATTCTTATAACACAAGTATCTAAAGCAGAACTTAGATTATTTAAGGTTCTGCACCTAGTCTGGATAGGTCAAAATTTAGATACAAGATTTTTTTTTAAATTTTTATATTTTATATGTAATATTATTGATTATAAATACAAGTGTATATAATTAATAGTAATAAATATGAATTTATTATCACATGTTACATTACATTATAAAGATGTGTATAGTAATACGCTTTCATAAAATAGAATGACATATTATGTTTGGCTATAATACATCTTATGTATTGATATGAAGGTTGCACGTGGATATCATTTAGGACCTCAAATTTATAAGTACAGCATAAAAATTATCACATTATATGCATTTATCAATAATGGATGGTGATACAAATGAAAAACTTAGTGTATCAGCCATTATGTTCAGATAAATTAATTGGCATTTGGAAAATAGAATACATGGTATATATTTAATGAATAGTAAATTATTTTAATAAAATAGTATAGATAAAAGGTTAACTTAATTTTTTATAGATTCTAAGTGGGCGCATTAGTTTTTGAATTTATTTTTAGTGGATATATGTAAAAAATGGTTCTTGTCTTAAGTAGTTCATACTGAAACCAAAAAATATACTTGTATATATTTTTTTTAAAAACATTTAAATTTCAAAAATAGCTTAAATTTTATATTCAAATAAAACATAACAATTTTAGTTATGTTGTAATTTAAAAATATATTTATTTATTGCAGGGATTTGAAACGTTAGATATAAATATTTTATTGAAGATATAAAATATAATTATAAAAATTAAGATTAATTCTCTAGCACACAAATTATTTATAATGATGTTAATTACTAATTCATACCAAAATAGTCGTATAATTATAGGTTGACAGATCATCTCCACTCAGAATTCTTTACTGTTTTGTATGTAATGATTTATTATTGAATTTCAGAATTTAACATGTCCGTTATAGTAACCTCCTCCATAAGAAGGGGGATATGCTCTATTTCTATTGCACAGCAAAGTGGATGGTTAAGTACTCCATGTTTCAATAAATATTTCAAAAAGTTTATTGGGCATAATATTTACAGATTAGTAAAAATACAAATTATTATTTTAGCTAACCTTTATTGTTTAGAGGTCAGATCTTCTATAAATAGAAATAAAAAGTAAATAAGTTAACTAAACAAATTAATTGTGATAATAAATAAAAAAAAACTCACTGTTTATTTTATTTTATTATTTCTTAGTCGGGATAAAATTTGTGAAATTCTCATGAATAAAAATTTATTAGAAACGACTAACAATATTTTCAATTATTAGGATACAATAAGCTTATTCAAATTATTGACAGTATTCATAAAATTATAATGTTTTATACTTTTTTATACATAAAACTTTTATAATTATTCTAGATTACCTGTATACACATATACATAATAATTATGAATATAGAATTTTGAATACAATGAGAACACATAAAAAATATTTATATTCGTGGGAGAGAAAAAATATCTTAAGTTAAACTTCATAAATCTACTAACACTTAATGCGAATGATTACAAAAGTAATTATATACAAATTATGTATATATCGTTTTCATTATCTTATCCTAGTTAAGGCAATCTTTAACTAGGGCAGTTAAAAATAAAAAACAACAATTGGCATCTCAATAAAAAGAGACACTTAAGCCAGAGGCGCATGATTAGCGACCATGGCTATTACGAATTTTTCATCTGGACAGTGAATGTGATCTTTCTTCTTTGTCATGAAGTCTTTGGTGAGCTGGTAGTTTATAAAAAAATTGGTGGTCTAAAGCTTCTTCCATGGTCATGCGTTGAGTTGGCTCATATTTGAGCAATTGGGAGATCAAGTCGAACAATAGCTTGTGGTCTTCCTCTTCAGAGCTCATGTATCTCTAAAAACAAATTTAAAACATTTTAATTATTAATCTATCTATATGTAATCACTCATCAATTATACTAACCTTTAAGGGTTTGCAATTTTCTCTAACATACCGTCCAGCAGAGCTGGATTGGTCCCAATCTAATTTGCTGTGATAGAAATATTTTGTTTTACTTCTTCTGGCCATCCTGTTCAAAATTTATAAATCATAATAAATATTTTTAAATAATCAATGAATAAATGTTTACTTGTAAGGAATTGAGCCAAGAATTCGTTCCATCATTGCAAGGTGTTCACGATTGTCATGTGTTTGGAATAATGTAATACCCAAATAAAGTTCAAAAATAATGCATCCAATAGACCATACATCACATGGTTGAGCCCACCCAAGTTCTAAAAAAAATTGTAACATGAAAATATATTTTAAAGTGAGGTGAGAGAGAAATATTTTACCTAAAATAACTTCAGGTGCCCTGTAATGTCTTGTCGATACAACTGTACTATGGTGTTCATCATCAAAAGTTGCACTACCAAAATCAATTAATCGTACTTCGGTATCTTTAATCATTTTATACGCACGCTTCTGTGCAACACCAATTTAAATTAATATATTTATAACTAATGAGAAAAAGCTGACGATATTACAGATTACCTTTTTTTGATTATATTGTGTATCATATTCGGACTTGACAAAAAGTATATTTTCTGGTTTCAGATCAGTATGTGTTAATTTATTGCGATGTAAAAATCTAACAGCGTAACATAGCTGGTAAGATATATGCCGCACTTGATCAATTGTGTATGGCTGATAATTATTTTCTTTCTATAAAAAATATTTAAATTTATAATTTAGTTTATCAACAATTTAAAAAGCTTACCAAAAAGTCAAATACACTTAGTCCCAACAATTCAAATCCAATACATACATGTCCTCCAAATTCAAAGTTATCAATCATTCGAACACAAAGGCTAAAATCAAAATATTAAACAATATTTAAACAACGAGGTTTTAATAATAAAATTGTAGTCTAAATCATACTTTTTACTTTCTGGATCTTTAGTGTTCAGTTTTTCTAAAGCATTAATTTCTAAACGAGCTGCTTCTCGATATTTTTCAACATTTTTTATTATTTTAACTGCAGCAATATTATCACGGCTGTAAAATTTTTAATTTAAATATATTGATATTATCAAATGTTTTAATTTTTTTTTATTTGGCCTATATTAAGATCAACATTTAAAGGTAATTAAACATTTGACAAAATGCCAAATGGGCTACTACACAGCAGTCCTCATTCTCACTAATACATAGTTATATAATTGTAAAGCTGTAATATTAGAATAATATTATAGCTGAAGATAATAACAAAAAATCAGGTTAATGTTCCATCTATTAAAAATCATTTATAGAAAATTTAATATTTGAAATATAGGTTGATAGCATTTTAACATATTGATTTACATGATAACATTGATTATAGTCATCAATTATCAATGATGAAGATTAATTAAAATTTTTACTTTTATTAGTATTGTACAAAATATTTATATGCAAACAAAAAATGATTTATTACTTACTTTTTCAAACATTTGGCACTCACTACTTTTCCAAAAGTACCTTCACCAAGGGTTTGGATGATTTGATCTGAAATTTGTCAAAGTATAATAGATTAATACAAATATAAAGAAAGATTGCATCCTCTGCTGGGACAGACCATGGATCTTGAAAATATTATAACAATTAAATAATAATTCAAAAGATAGTCAAATTTCTTATTTGCAAATACCAGGTGAAAATTTTAATGAAAATTAAACATGGGAATTCGGAGAAAAATGTTCTCTTATTAATAAAAGAAATCCAAAAAAGAAAATCAAACGAAATTATAGAATATTTTTTCATTAATTAAAACAGTAATAGTATTGATAACGCGGTATATATATATATATAAAAAAAAAAAATGACAACCAAATATTAAGTTGATGAGAAAAAGGTATTTAGTTGTCCCCATTCAGCCAAAAACAACAAATGCACGCGCTTATGTTTCATCCACATATCATTTTTGTACATTACTGTTTTTTTGTATTTTTTTTTTTTTTTTTAGAAAGAGTAAGTAATCATTTGTAAAATGTAACTGGTTCACGAACATCTATCGGCCAGATTGTCTCCATTTTTGTATATCAGATGTCCCTCTTCGTCATCCACAATGACTGGACTTCTTGCTCGCTGCTGTTGAGGGTGATCAAACAGTTGTTGTAATTGTTGTCCCAATATTCATCATGTATGTAGGAATTGATTAATAGACGCCCGGCACACACACACACGCGAATTGTTGACGGCCGATTGGTATTCGTACGGGATTTGTACATTCAGGTGGCACACCCATTTTCAGCAGTTGCGTGTTTTATCGCCGCAATCATAAAGACAGAAGGACACAAGGCAAAGGAAAGCCTCGTTAACAACTTTTTTCATATACATATACATATTCTTACAAATATAAGTGTTATTTTATACATATTTTTGTTTAAATATATATAAATTAACTATAATATAGTGTGTGAATGTGTATGTTTGGGTTTAAAAAGAAAAAAAATCAATAATAATAAAAAAAATCTACCTTTTATATATTATTATATATAATACAACCAAACAAACGTCACATTAATATAAATCATGAAATTATATGGTTATCAATTGTCATCATAATTCAATTAGTAACAAATAAAGTGATTTATTTAAGAATAAGTTTATAAATATTACCTTTTTTATTTTAGAAAACTGCCAAAGTCCCATTATGCTTTTAATTGTAAATTAACAGAGAAATTATATTATTTTAAGAACTAAATGTAGTCAATAGTAAAATGTAAGTCATTATAAAATGTATAGTCTTGTCTTATCATGTTATATATTATAAATAATAGTTACTATTTACTACTTATTATTTATGAATTATAACTTATAACATGAAGCAATAATTATTATTTGTCAACATGAAA